GGGGGAGGGAAATGGGAGGCTGGGAGGAGGCGGAAACTTTTTTTTTTTTCTTATTCTCAATAAAAAAAAAAGCAAACAGCAGAAAGGCTGTTAAATTGAAAAAAAAAAACAATAAAAAGTAAAAAAGGTATGCTTCTGGCCAATGGACAATATGACATATTTGAAATAAAAATAACTCTACTCACCAATGAAGCAAAAGGTTCATATTAAGTATTCCAATGTGGCCATTTATACAACCCAAGGCTAGACAAGGACTTCCTGCTTGTAACGGTTCATTAATTTGCCCATCCAATATCCCTATTAACAAATATAGCATCACTAAAGGACCACACATCACTACTTTATGAGGCAAAAAATAAGAGTGGAAAATAAATTTTTATATAAATGCCAAGTACTAGTCTTAAGTAATTTTTAAGCTTAGCACCATAACGCCTAAGTTGGTTAGGAAAGAAACACGGGAGAGGAGAAAAAGGCGATATTTAACCTTGAAGGATGGTGACTACCATACAGTTGTTGAAGGAATTTACTTATTATCTGATAAAGAAATTGCAGTATTTATTCCCTCTAGAGATATAAACTAGTGAATCAATCTGCAGTTCAAGATACTTATTTAAACCCAGAGGAGGAGGATATAGCTTTTACTTCTGAAACTCCAGAATAAAACAAAACAAAACAACAACAACAACAAAAAAAAAAACAGCTCTGAATGTAGTTTATCTTCAAACAACAGCTTGAACATTAAACAATTCAAACTAAATGTAGTTTCTCAGTTCTCCTTTAAAATTCATATATACATACACATAATTTACCAGTATACTGTATATAAAATATGAATTTCCTAAGTGTCTGTGTAGCAAGAAATATATACTCTTTCTTCCTTCCTTCCTTCCTTCTTTCCTTTCTTTCTTTCTTTCTTTCTTTCTTTCTTTCTTTCTTTCTTTCTTTCTTTCTTTCTTTCTTATAGTTACAAGTCAATTTGTTTCTCTTTCCATTCATACATCTATTCATTTAGTTTTCAGTCTACTGATATTAGTCATCCTCTCATCGCTTCTCAAAATGCATGTATATCTTCAGAAAATGTAAGTGAACACACCCAAAAAAGAGAAAAAATTATAAACCCTCCCCCTAAAATTATTTTCTCATAATGATTCTCTCCTTAAGCATTTGACTACAAAAGAGGATTATTTGCTTTGTTCTTTCAGGTATAATCAGACATCCTAAGACTTACCTTGCATATCTTGTGGGCTTTCAAATAAAATTTGTCTTTGAGAAATGGCATTTTTTCTGATCTAATTGTCCCCTTGCTTTCTCTACCAGGTTCAAAACATTGTGAAATAAAATTTATGTTGCTAATATAAAAATCAGCTCAGCTTGCACACAAATTCATCTGCTGTTGTAGATTAGTACAACTAACCACACACAAAATCGATGAATAGACAGCTACCCAGACAAACACATAAACAAATACTTAAATAAAGGATATCATCATCTTTTCCACAAACTTATCATGGTGACTTTCTGCTTTGGGGAAATTCTTGATGTCACGCTCCAGATGAAGAATGTTTTGTTCCATCGCTGCAAGGTTGCTCTTGAGAATTTGAGCTGAAACTAAAGAACAATGTGCAAAGTGTTTAGCATCTAATACTAGACATTCTACTAAACAACTAAAAACACTATCTGCTAAAGGCTTTTTTTAATGTGGAGAATTGTTCCATAAAGTCACTTCACATTTTTCTGAATTACAGCCCATAAAAATTCTACTCTCCATGAAGTCAATGAAAATGTGTAATATAATATACCAAATCATTATATTTAATATGGGAATGTCACAATTTTACTCAGCCATTAGTTCAGATGAACCCATTCCTATTTAAATTTATTGATGGAACACCTAATATCTCATTCTTTAAAATTTAAATTGAAGATTAAAGAGAAATTAAGGTTCAAAGAGAACTTATCTTATTAATGCATGTCCTTGGTTATATAAATGATTTAAGGTTAAATTATATAAAAGAATGAAATGTTTGCTTATTTGGAAAACCCTTAGTTTTATAAACCAACACCTATGGTAAAAATTCCCATCTTTAAGATTTGATACTTTAGAGAGCTATGTAAAGTAACTGTTGAAATGGAAGGGAAGTTTAGAGCAAACCATATGCACAAACATACACATCCACAAAGGTTCAGCATGCCCTCAAATACTATCATTAGTCACTTTAATTACCCCTCATATTCTCTGCTCTTTTCCTTTTCTCTCATTGACAACTAATAATTTTATGTATTGTATCCCAAACTGTTCCTAAATACAGGTACATTCTTTGGATCTCTCAATGTGCTGTCATTTCTGGAGTAAACTAAAAAAAGAAGAAAAAAAATCTTATAACAATTTTCTACTATATTACTATATGACTTTGAACTGATTGTATATAGAGATACTTGCATCTCTTAGTACCAACAGAATCTGAGGAAATTCTAGTTGAGGAGACAAGGGAATAATAGTTACAACTTGATACATAGCCTATGACACTGGTTTTTAAATGCATACCTCTGAAACAGTTTCCACTAAAGAATATGAAATACACAAAAAGAAAAACGGTTTTTATTCTACTAAATTTTGTGTGTTTTAGAGATACATTAGAATCATAATGAAAAATTTAAGAGACTGACTAAATCTACCCTCTGGCAAAATTCAGATTATTGTGATCCAAATTCATCACCCTGACAAGTTTACCTTTATAATTCAACAAGGAGAAATCAACTTAATAATATACATGGAAGTTCAAGAGACTGAAAATCAAATACTAACACTGAAGATTATTTTTTATATTAACTTGTCATTATAAATAGTTCTGTCCAATATGGTTCTTTTTGTATAGATCTGGGAAGTTGGAAAGTATTCCTTATTAGAGAAGTTGAAGAACTGTTGTGCCTTGCTAAAACAAAGGATGGGTTTATTGAAAAGCAAACCATTCTAATTTTAAAACTAAATTCTTATCATATGTTCTTACTCTCTAGTCTCCCCAACTATTCAAAGGTTTCTATTTTCCCATTCTAAGAGATTCCTGGAAAAAAAAAAAAAAACAATATATGTGAAATTGACTGGGTATTGAGTCACTTGGGTTACAAGAACATGGTGTGTGTGTTAAGACATAGTAATCTAATATATGGTAGTGACAGGTACCCTCTTTGGAATCAGAGTTAAGGAGCATTATGATCTATGAAGAGGAACAGAGGGAGGAAAAATAGCCCTCCACTCCCAATGTATTACATTGTGCACAGACATTTTCTTTGTTCTTCCACTCATATATCTTTACAATACTCCATTTTTTACCAATTCAGCTAAAAGCCAATGTTGAGGTTTAGGCTATTAATTCTCTTAGGAAAGCTTCCATGTAATACAAAATCTCAATAAATTTGCAATGTTTTGTTAATATATATTTTCTTATTGAACTTTGAATAAACTAATATTTTAAAAAGTGTCCTTACCAATTAACATGTCAGATCCTCAATTTTACATAAATTTTCCAGTTCTGTTCTCTAAATTCTCTGCAATTCATTATCATCTTCTACGTCGCTCCCTAATTTGTCTTATAATTTTCTTAAATCTTGATCCATGGCTGGGGTTTAGAACCAATATTATTGGCATGCTGAGTATTGGGACCTCGGGAGACTGAAAGGCCTCAGAAACAACAACTTTTTGATCTCTTATCCTGACATCTCCAGAATGACAGTTACTGAATCTGTTTTTTCTCTTTGCAATGTAACTATCTCATAGAAAGTAGAAATCTTCTTCCCCCAAACAAGTCATATTATCTAGAAAGGTCTCTCTCTTGTATCTTGAAGAACTTTATTTGGGAGGAGTGATGCTTCATATGTGGGAGGAAGGATTGCTATACAAGAAGTCTATCAGATGCTTGGAAAGTCTTGATGTGTTACCCCCTCCATTTTATTAGCATTAAATTGTACAAATGACACTTCTATATGGGCCTTTGTTCATAAAGGTTCCCATGTCTTACAAAGTGCTAATTACATTAGCTATGCTTTCCTTTTGTTAACCTATTTTGTATATATAGGTGTTCATCATTATTACTCTTATAATGAATGTTCTAAAGCCTTACCTCATTGTACCCCCATGTAAGATGGAAAGGAAAGACAAATTCTTAAGTCTTTGCTTTTCCTTTTATATTTACCCCTGTACTTTATACATAACAGTCAATAAACGATTATTGAATATGCATATTTTAAGAAATACTGTTTTATGTTTATATTTATCCCCATTTCTATAGCTAAGATTGTAGCAGAGGTTATACATGATAATGATTGGCAGTTAATATATCAACTACTATACAACCATAAAAAAGGCAGAATTGAAATCTGCCTATAAATAAACATAATGCGGAGGGCTGCAGGACATACTTAGACAATGGTAAAGCCAGAAAAAGAGAAAAGAAAAGTAATGGAAAACTATTAGTTTGTCTGTACTACATTTGTAATGAATTATTAGTAATGTAACCAAAAAATAGGATAAAATGCTTGAGGCATAAGCTACCTTACATGAAAATGTAAGCATTTGCAGCATTACATAACATATTTTTCTTTACATTGAGGAAAATTATTTAGAATTTGACTTAGGAAGTCATACTAAAGGGAAATCAGAAAAAGGTCATTTATATAGTCGATATCCCTGTAAAACAGAACTTATGACAGTTTACTTATTAGTGTTTTATTGAGTTTGGAGGTGAAAGTGGATAATTCCAGAGAAATAGGCATGAAGAATAAAAGGAAGAAAGCAAATATAAGAGGGTTAAATTATAGATCTGGCTATAGCTTTACAAAAACTACAGCTTGCTGCTTAGTGTCTCACAGTCTTTCCATTACTCATAATTTCATGAACATGAGACCTACACCATCCCTTGGTATGCTTAAAAGACCACTGGATTTGTTTAATGTTTTGATGCCAATATTTTTGAAAATATTTTTTTTCAGTTCCATCCCACATTGCCATTTTCACTTTGGGTTTTTACAAATTATATAGTTGATCTTTACCTCCATATGAAACAAAAGTATCTAAGAAGAGTGGGCTGGAGGAATACCCATTTCACCACATGCTGGCTTCTTTTAAAAAAACGTTTCCAACTGTATTTATTAAATCACTTCTTGGCCTATTAGCTCTAACTTATTTTTGGCTAGCTCTTACATTAAATTAACCCATCTACATTAATCTGTGTATCACGGCAAGGTGTGGTTTACCAGGTAAAGTTCTGGCGTCTGTCTTTGGCTGAGCTACATGACTTTTCCCTGACTCTACCATCTTTCTCCCAGCATTAGTTTCCAGTTTAGGTTCCCCCACCTTGTTCTGTTGTGCACTTCTCTGCTATAGGCTCAAAGCAGTTCCTGTATTAACCAATGGTACTCACAGCCTACAGGGGGCATCCCACATAAATCTGGAATTCTCAGTTTTCAACAGCAAACTAAAAGCTAATGTTTGTTAAATGAAGAAAAAAAAAGTTTCCAAAAGTATTAACGGACTTCTTTGGCCTGGGTTCAGAGTTGTGCCTGTGTTTATGCTACCAAAAGGTTACCTAGCAAATCTATGGTATACACATACTAGATTCAAAATACAGTATTCCTTATAACCTAAGTGGCTTGGTTAGTTTGGGATATTTTTGACAATTTATAACATTAATTTTTAATAACTTACCCAAATCAGCATACTTAATCTCTCACTTATTAGTCCTAATATTGCTTTGTGAAACAGTAATCAAGTCTACTACTCTTGACTTGCAGGGAAAGTATTGGCTAGACCTTCTCAGTCAAGTCAAGCTATAACCCATTTCTTCAACTAATCTTCTCAAGGGACACAATTCCTTATATATGCCATTATCCTCCCCTCTATAGCCTACCTCCCAGCATAAAAATTCTACTATACATATGATACTAAGAATTAAACAGTGCAGTCATAATCTAAGAAAATAAGGAGGTACCTCCCTTACCTCTTATCCTTACTGTGCTCCGATTTAATTTAATATTAGTATTCTTTCTAATCAAGAGAACTAAACTTAATTTGTGCTTTGGGTACATAGATTTCACAAAGTACACGGACACTTATGTCTGGGAAGCAATTATAATTACAGCATGTAATAATCAAATTGTTAGAAAACTACAAAGGTTCAAATTTAAAGAGTATTTTTGGAAATTAAGACATGTACAATAGTCCCTGGGGACATTTAAAGGTTACGTTGTCTTCCTAGAGTTTTATAAAGATATTGAACAAATCCAAAGGTGTTTTTTTTAAAAAAAAAGAACGATCATGGATTTATCTGCTGAATTACTTGCCAGGAACACACTGCTGTAATCTTAAGAGTTAAGAGTTGGAGTCAATGAGATTGCTTAATGGGTAAATGTTTGCCACACTCACATGACAACCTGAGTTCAATTCCTGGAAGCTACATAAAAAAGCTAGATGAGAAGGCAGAAATTCCAGATTGTAATCTCCACAATTACCCATGGCAAGACAGGAGAATCATTAAACTTTGCAAGCAAGATAAGCCAGAAGTTGGCAAGTAAACTAAGCCTGAAGATTGCTGCAAAACAACACAAATGGGAGC